AGCTAAATATCTGAGCATATGATGTAAGTGTTCTATCTTAATTTACTCGGTTATTAGTGACATTAATGTTTTATTTGGTAGCAATAATATTTAGGTTAATATTTGGTGTTACATCTCACACAAACCTCGCGTTAAGTGCAATGACCCGCAGTGTTATAATACATTCATGCCAGTCTATCTAGGCAACAAGCAAAGGGGCTTTTGACTTCCCTTGTTGCTAGGCAGCGGAGGATTTATGTGTGGAGGATGTTTACGCAATTCGTTCATTCGCTATATCGTCTGCTACTAATTTAATTGTATCATCAGTTTTATAACTGTGTACTTTTTTGTTGAAATTTACAATTATTTTAACATTATAATTTAATTTTATCAGTATATAAACATAATGATAAAATGATGATAAAATGCGAACATACAGATAAATACAAATGTTAACATGATGAGAACCTTTAATAAAATAATAATGCTCAACGTCAATAAAATGACACCCATCTCACTTCGTATGTGCCGGGTAGAACTACGACGTTAACCTGTGGCACACTGTCAAACTAAGTCGTGGCCGTACTTGTATACGAAATGGACAACTATTACTCTTAAAGTGACAATGCGAGAAATACACTCCATGAACAAGACAGAACATATGTATAAACGACTTTATGAGAACATTACAAAACAACAAATATATTGCATTCAGGAAACGGATATTGCCTCCGCATTTCGAAAATTACACCCCAGTATACACAATGGTCTCATCCCCTAATTGTGTGTCAGGGAGGATTGAGTCGGCTGCGATCCAGTCAGTATGAACTACTAACATCGGTATAACGTTTTACATTGACGGTTTTTGATAAACACCATCATCCCCGAAAACGTCAGAAATGCGAAGTGTATTCAGGTGATTTAAAAAACTTCGAGTCAAAGGTCAGTGTCCCTGATCAAAGTCCATGGACGCGCTTTTAAAAGTAACGGAACTCTTATTTTAGTCAAACACCATATCTTGCTAATAACGCCTATACGGAATAATAAATTCACCACTTCAGATGGAACGGTACTTTGATGATTGTATAGCTTTTACTTCATCGTCAATATTGCGTTTAAGAAGCTTTTTTTAATGGTCGTGACCTATAAAATGTACTTTAATTCTTCCAGCTGAAGTAGCGGTGTCTACGTTTCTACTGTTGAATAAAACTTGTCACAGTAGTAACCGGTTTGATTAGGTGTGACGATAAAATCACAATATGGGTTGTTTTCGCATCGAAACTCGTCTATGTATCGGTTGTACTTAAGTATGTGAGTAGGATGATTACACAAGAATGATTCCGACATAGCTCCCGTGTTCCGAATTCGAAGTGAAGTTGGGTTGCTATGGTATTTGTTAAATACGAATAAAGGAAAGTTTTAACAAAGCGTAACCCAACTCAGTATTGAACTTGATTAATTCAAACACACGCTCTGAAACCTTTCTGTCGCGGAACAGTGATCATCAGTTATCGAATCATTGTCAATGTGTGTTTCTTTCTTGAAATCCTGAGACCAAACCCTATTTCAAAACTATGTGCCATCAAAGTTGACGTTCAAGAATGCAATTACTGACTCCATCTCAAGGGAGGCAATCTGACCTCACCTTCAAGCTATCCTAATTTCACTCGCAAATATAAGTACAACTTTTCTGCGTGTTTTCGGAGTCAGACTGGCATGTTTACTCTTCCAGTGCGTCCACTTATAATGTCGACACGTTTTTGAAGTGCAATAGGTATGTGAGGATAAGTGGTACTAAAACAATGCTCAACAATCAATTGTGAGACATAATCACCGTTGAAAGGTCATTGGGTTCTTTGACGTTACAAAATGAGACACTTTTCTCCCTCATACCTCACCACCTTCGTTAGCATTCAAAACACGTTGGGCATACTTTATAATTGGCATGGTGGACAATGTCTGTTGGACCGGCCTCTGCTAGGTTCAAGCTGCAAAGTTTAACATCAGCGTGGAAAGTGAAATTCTTGTTTGATTAAATCAACTGCGATTCTGAAATCGGAGATAAAACTACCGTTGAGCTAGGTAGTGGCGCTTAGACGTCGCCTTCTTTGATATCAATATAGTTTGAAAAATGTTACAAGGATGATGTCATAATACTTGATTCGCATATCGAATCATAACGGTCCTTATATAGTCAGTCTGAATACTATATTTGCCAAATCTGTAACATATTACGATATGTGTGTTTTGGAAATGTTGACCTCGTGATTTTGTAAGATGCCGTGGTGAACACAACTGTGGCGTTTACAAATGAGATGGCAAAAGTTGACTTCGGCATTCAAAAAGTTAAGCATTCGTTTCGTGATTTGTTTTAAACATTGAGGGCGCACCAGACACGTCAATCTTTGCAGGGTAATCGTGATGCGAACTACAAACTGCATACATACTGTACCAAGAGATACGTAAATCATTTAACGACATATATGAAAAAAGATATTGAAATAAATTGAAAATATGTCCTATCGATCTATTTTTCCTGAAAACAGAACATTACGTCTATTGTTTTCCTGAAAACAGAACATTACGTCTATTGTTTTCCTGAAAACAGAACATTACGTCTATTGTTTTCCTGAAAACAGAACATTACGTCTATTGTTTTCCTGAAAACAGAACATTACGTCTATTGTTTTCCTAGGCCATCGGCCCATATACAAACACTACACAGCAATACTAAAAATAAGTACACGTAGAATATAATTCTATTCTCGGTTTCAAATGACACGGATTTAAATAATGATTAATTTGTTAACATTTGTCTCCTGGCACATGCAAATGTTGATTTTTTTTTTTTTTGTTGAATTGAAATTTATCAACGGCTGGTTGGAACAAAAAATGTTGGAGGATTGACTCTCGTCTTAATGTGTTGTAGGCTGGACAAATCAACAGAAAATGATTTTCATCCTCAACAAAATTAGCACGACAGACTTTACAGACTCTTTCCGTTGAAGGCAAACTTTCGCGCCGACCTTCTTCAATTCACAGCGAAACTGGCAAAAATGCGGACGAGTTCAGTTTCAGACTACAATTTAAAGATAAATATTTCTCTTGTTATAATGCACTCTTGAACTCAATGTAATTACGTAATTTGGGTTTCAAGGACGCAATTACTTTCCAGAGCTGTTTCTGTGTGTCAGAGACTCGCAGTACAAATTCAGAAAGAAAAACGTCCTTGCTACCTACTTCTTGAGCTAGCCAGACATACCCAAAGCCATATGAATACAAAATGTGTTTAATTGCCATCACCCAGTTATTTCTACCTAGGTCATTGAGATTACGTAACATTGAATAGGCATGCCTGGGAATTCTCGTAGGGGGAGTTCTAAGAGTCTAAGCCATAACGTTTAATCGTGGAAACAAAAATTGGAAGTCGCCCACATTCTCCAACTCCAGCTTCTTTGGCAGTACCTTGAGGGAACCCAAGTAGTCTCCTACACAATTTCCGATGTACCTTTTCAATTAATAGTCGTAGTATTGAAATCCCCAAATCTCAGATCCGTAAGACAGAATAGGAGATATAATTGAATCAAATAATTTGAAATGGGTGTCAAAATGAACCAAATAAAGTTTAACAGAAACCGGTGAAAGAATCCCAAGCGTTTTCCCAGCCTGGTCCGCTAAAGTAGAAACTGCTTTAGACCAAATGTTCCTGGAAAAAAGCACGAGATCTAAATACTTATAATAGGAAACAAATTCTAACTCGCTTTCCTCAAGGTACCACTTCTCTGTAAGTTTGAAATTGAGTCACTAAGGCTACATCATCTGCATAAAGTAAAGCGAACAGATTATAAATGTCCTGTGTTAGTTGAATCCCCAAATTTCCTGAGTTAACCAACATCAAATTAAATTCTTCAATAAAGAAACTAAATAAAATAGGGCTCAACATACATCCTTGTCTGACCCCTATCGGACATTCAAAGGAACTTGAAAGATTTGATTCAGATTTGACACAAGACTTAACATTACTGTACATAGAACGCAAGATACAAAACATGTTACCATGGATACAAATTGTTGATAATATATATATAATAATAGTGAATGGTTTGTCCTGTCGAATGTTTCAATCCACGACGAGACAGTAAACCACCCCTTTTCACCAAATACTAGTACTTCTGCATAATAGCATATAAAACAGAAATATTATCTATAGCACTGTGATTTTTACAAAAACCCGACTGACAATCGGATAACACGCCATTATATTCTGCCCATAATCTTAGCCTTTCATTTAAGATTGCCGTAAAAAATGTTGTTCAAAAACATTTAATAATGACATCCCCCGGTAATTGTTTACATAAGTTTGTTTCCCACTCTTTCGGAAAGTTACCTGAATTGTAAATAAAGTTGAACAGATGGGTTAGAACAGGAAGAATAAATGAGGCCGGAAATTTAAAAAAACTCATTTGGAAGTCCATCGTCGCCTGGCGCTTTGCTATGCTTGAGTCAATTTAAATTTTTCAAAATTTCCTCCTCAGTTATTTCTTGGTTCAAATGATCAACATTCAGTTGATATCAATACATATATATCAATTTGACCTAAATACATTTTTTTTGCGAGTAAATCTGCATATATCTTGAATCTTTTCATCAAAACGTATTAATTTATCACTCAGCCACATAAATAGGGTGCTTAGCTCAGTTACAAGGACCTGTCGACCGCGTCTTGTTTACAGTGCACAAACACGAGATAAATGAGAGGCGAGATTGTCTGGGATATTTCCGTACACTCGGGGGACTTGAACTAATAACACACGACGCTGGATTTTGCTAACGTCCATATAAGATATTTTCTAAACCAAATAACGCATGCGTAGTAGCCTAGATATATTTTACACTTATTATAAACTGCTGAGTGAACAGTCGCCCTGTAATTTGAAAATTAAAAGAACCCCGACGCTAACAACTACAATGACAAGCCATATAGTTAATCATTTGGTAATTTGGTACTTTATATATTACAGATCTCCCCGGCTTGATCGTCTCAAATGACATATATTTAAATGTCGAGTATACCTTTAGGAAATCCTTCGATGACATTAATACAAACGACGGAGTCTGTTCGGCTGAACCTAAAACTGAGTCTGTGAGTGTCATGTCATCAAGCGAAAGTGTAGTACAGGAAGAATATGTTAAAGACATCAGCGATGAAGACGATAGCAAAACAAAATTCAAGGTATCCAGAACTACCGCATATATATGTTGTGTTTATTGTTATAGTATGTTGTTCATTCTAGGCTGTGTACAATGTGACGTGTAGAGATTGTATATTTTAGGTACTGGTAGTACGAGTTCAACATGATGACCAACCAAATTCCCTTTATTTTTAAATAAATATATGCAATATGCCGTAGAATAACCATACATTATTGTCATTGTGAACTCCTCTTCATTGAAAACCAACCAACTATTTTAGAAATAGCGTACTAACACTTCTGGCTACTTGTTTGACATGGTGATGGTGGCGCTGTTTATTGTGTTTGATTTAGACAAATTTTTCAACTAGTTAACATGTTTGGAATAGATTCATTGGTCTTATGTATAAAACAACCTAAAAGGCAGATTGTTGTATTGTCGTCTATGGACAGTTTAATTATAGTGCGATATTTCTAACCTACATGTCGTTTCCTATAGCTACCCGTATAAGTTGCATTCTGCCGACATACTGCCCTCAACGCCACATGTTACAGATCAAACCCATAGCAACAGGTGTCTGATAAGAAACGTCATGTGACTATTTAGTAATTGTTATGATTTGTGTTATTGAATGTTTTATTATTGAACAATATGTACAATGCTAAAACTGCAGTTCCATGGTAACATAAAACTGTTTTAGAGTGCGTTGCTGAAAATTGGCCAAATATAATTCAACGAAATCTATTTTCATAACAATGAATGAACCAAAATGTTAAAGCAGTATCAAAATAAAACTTGATTTTAAAATAATTTAGTTTAGTGTATAGTGTATACACTGATATGTAACCAACAATTACAGACTATGGCATCATAAAAGCCAATAGTAAAAATATTCTAAAACACAATAGCAGTCAATCACTAAAATATAACCAGAATTTTGCCGCGAGCTCAATTTATTGTAAATTGGATAAATTTTGGTTATTTTCATTTATGGGTTTCTACCTTAGGCAAAGGTTCGAGGGAATTTTAGAGATCAAGTTTAAGTTCAGTTATTAGCATAAGTAACCTTATTATGGTATGCATTTGATGGTAGGTTGTAGCAAAATCTGTTAACCACTAAAATTCAATCGCAAATAAAAGTGAGTGGAATCAATCATTTGACCACTACTCAACATCAACTTGAATGAGATTGTGTACGCGTATTCGTCAATGCATGATTTAATATTGTGTAAGACAATTGTGCTATATCAGTCACGGTTCTAATGTTGTTGTAACTTACTTTGAAAAAGTTTAATTTAGGGGTTGCCAACAAAATATGCTTTAAATTGCGATTTTATGTAGAAATTAATGAACAAATAATCAGAGTAATTCATTTCCTTAAAGTTAAGGTTGACTTATGGTCAAAGATTGATTTTGTTCACTTTTATTTGCCATGGAAAGATAAAAATAATTAAATATAATCATGTAGATTGTATTACAACATACCACGATGTGCATACCACCCACAGATTCAGATAAACATTCAGGCGAATGATAGCGTAAGCTTGACCCCTGAAAAATCTGCGAAACTCTACTACACCCCTAACTAATTGTAATTATTCTATTCTAGAGTTCTGATTCAGTCGTGACAGAGCATCGAGAAAAAGAACACAATACTAGACAAAACGAAAGAGTTGATCACCTCTGTGAAACGGCAGACGATAAAGACATACACATCGTAACCAGCAACGAAAATTTATATTGTCACGTTTGCAGTAAGACGTTTCATAACCAGCGCATGCTCAGCCGGCACAAAAGAATTCACGAAGAATCACGACGTCATTTATGCAGCTTTTGTAAGAAAGGCTTCAATGATAATTTTGACTTGAAACGTCACGTGAGAACACATACAGGTGAGCTATGGGTTAACATCCTGTACTTGTTTACGGTTTTGGAGGGAAATTATGTACCAAATTTAGAACGTTTTAGGTATTTCTATAGTTGATAATCATAGATTAGAAGATTTGCGATTTTGTTTGTGATTTGTTTAATAATTACCTCATTCGCAGGCGAAAACGTCAAAATGCTTAGCGTACGATTTTTACTAGACAAAAACATTTCAAGTTGGCCCTTCCTAACAACTGATGGGCATATAATCTTTATAAAAATAAAAAAAAACACTTGTGAAAGTAACTGTGTACGCATGGGAGAAAATAAGATAAGCCAAAGTACGATGGTGTTATGTTAAAGCGGGGGATTCGTAACCTGCGCATGCGTCAGATGGCCATAGTTTGTCGATGTTGACAAACAAACGTCTACCCATGAGCCTTTGCATTTTAGCGTGCGTTGCTTTCGTCGTTTGGGACTCAATTCCCGCGCGTGTACAGGTGACGACCCTCCCGCTTTAATCATCGCCTTTACCACTAAATAAAAACTTTAAACGTTCCGGTATTTGCATAATATTAACATAAAATAGGTATTACATGAATAGAATATTGTCGCTACGAAGAAAAATTACAAGAAACTTAGCTCGGAATATATTTAGTTGGAGCTGCCAAGCGTAGCTAACTACACAACGCGACATTGATGTCATTGAATGATTTATTGCAGGCGTACGTCCCTTTAAATGTGAAACATGTGACAAGGCGTTCACACAAAGATGTTCTCTAGAATCGCACCAGAAAAAAGTCCATGGAATCCTTCACAAATATGGATATAAAGAACGGAGGAACAAACTGCATGTATGTGAGGACTGTGGGTATACTACGTCGAGGATTGAAGACCACTTCACTCATATACGACAACACCATCCAGTGAGTCCGTTGATTACCAAGTTCAATCGAAAAGACAAACATTATATCAACGAGAAACAAACACTTCAACAGACTAACCGTCATCATTGATGAACGTGCGCTACCAACGTTAGTTTCAAGTCGGTATAAAATACCATATATGGCCATGGGATACTTCTGACGTATGTGACAGTGAAATAACATTGGCAGATGTTTGGTGCCCATGTTTCACCCAAATATGAATTCTACCTTAAGAAAAATATACTATTGTTATTTTTTTATATTATCACAAATATGGCAGAAAAAAGTGTTTGACAGAAAATCCCGCAAGTTTACGTTGATTTTTGGTTAATATTGATTTGGTCTACTATAATGGAAAATAGGGGCATACAACTATGGGTATTCTTTTCATAAATAGATACCTACATGCTTTCGTGTAGTCATAATTATAATTCTTACCCAATCACACCTTAATGTTAACGCCAATTTTACATCCGCAGCTAAATACTGCTGCCAGGTTGTAGCTACGAGAACCAAATTTGTGGTTAGAATATAATCAGAATAATTACATTTTACAATAGCCCAGTCCATTCTAATGATGCGAATGAAATTATAAAAAAAAATAGATGATATGATTTTTATGTGAGACAGAGTTCCATTTATCCTCTTCGGGCCCTGTGGTTTATAATGCTGTAAGGTTCTCTCCCCAGTGCACCTTGTCTTTGTCAATTGGCTTGGCCGCGTTGCATAAAAAGAGAGAAGCGTAACAAAATAGACCATTTTCTTCTACAAGGAAACAAAACTCTCTAAAACTACAAAATGACCTGTCAAACTTCGTATCAGAGATGGATTTATTTTTATAATATTTAGAACCAATGTAGCCTAAAATTAAATTATTTCCAGATTCTAAATTCACCAGTTATGTACATTAACCAACGTTTCACTCAAGTTGCACCAGTGTCCCTGTTTCATTTTTCAGAAGGTCTATGGCGGCAACAGTGTGAGAAATAACGACGCGTGTAATAATAGCACAGTGGAAATTATCTAGATAGCAGCATAGCACACTGCCTCGTGGCTAGACATAATTCGACAAATAAAAGCAATGCACGTTCGGTTGCAGTACATTATTTACTTAGAAATTGGGGTTACCATATTATTATACACTTATAATATATCTTTTTAAACATTCGAATAGATTGATTAATACGTATGTTAAGTTATCGGTCATAGAGGTTAAACCTCAATTGGTCGCTATTTATTATAATATAAGTAAAATAGCATATCGAGTAACGCAGAGGTGAGCGTATAATCTACAGCAAGGTGTTCGTCCGCCACGTGGTAGCTGATATACATAGGTACCGACACGCAAAGAAGAAATTTAATTGTGTTCCTATTTCTCACATTAAAGCTCGCAGAACGTTGAATAATAAAATAGTTCTTGAATCCCTTATATATATCCTACGACAGACAATGACATAATTTTAGGCTCTCTCTGTGATTACGCTACACTCCAATACACTGACAATGTCTGTTTACTAGATGGTCGTTTTAGGTGTGTAAAATACCCAAATTTCGGAAATTTCATACTAACTGCACGATAATTGCTAAAAAACACTGTTCTTGCTTGTATTTGTCGGATCATATATTGCCAAAAGAAAGTGGGTTATTACGATCTAGTCCATTTTCACGGTGTCATTGATTTCTGTGTCATTTTTACTGGAGTCATAATTTCTTAAATTCGTTCGTCTCACGCGACAACATACGTATTTACGTGGTTATTGCCATGACACAGAGGAGAGCAATAGTCTGTTCGTACTCCACGTGACGCCTTACATAGTGTACATACTTATATCTGGACACAAAGTCCACTTCAAGGCGACAAGTGGCGTGACGTCACGCTCATTGAACATTAACTGTAGTGAATGCAGTAAAATAAACGTCACCAAATTCATGTTTTTGTGTTTAACTTCTCCATCATTTCCATCCAGGCGCGTTACACATTCTTCTGCGTTACATTTCAACCATGCGGTCGTGATTCATTGACGTCACCACAAAATATGTATAATTTCGCCCACTCATTTACTTTCAAAATAGTGTATTTTGACCAAAATTCGCATCCATTCACGTCAACAACGTCGCCATATCAGTTTCCAGTCAACTTTCCAGTCAACAGCGATGAATCAACGCGATCCCAGACGCTAACTGTAGCAATAGATTCAGCAATCCCTTGACGTTCTTTGTGTTTTTCTCATGTTTCATCGCGCGAAATTAGACGCGACACTGATATAGCGAAGTTACAGACATGAACAATGGAATAAACATTGACCTGCCCAATGAGTCTCGCCCTCTATTGACGAAAAACTCCTGTGACGTGAAAGAGAGGTTGTTTCGATCTATAATCGCGCGCCAATTACAAATAACGGTTTGAGTCATTACTATGGCTGTTACGATAAACGACATTGTTTTCAACCGTCTGTATTATGTTTCGTTATTAATTCTAGAGGGCGCCACCTAATGAAGCTAGCTGAACAAGGGCGAATCATCGTGTATAACCTGATTTTAGACGTTAAGTAATGCAATAATTCACTTTTATTCGAGCTGATCCAGTATTTTAATTTAGTTTAGCCATAGACCTTAGAGGGTCTATAGTTTAGCAGACTTTTCCCTTGGGTAAAAGTGTAAATGTATATGCAGGAATTCCACCGTCACGTAGTAGGAGAATTAGAGCCGCGTTATGCATGCTTTTTCTATGCTGATCATATCCTTTGTTCGTTTCGCGGTTTTCCATTTTGTATAAATGGAGTAAACTGAACAAACATACAAAAACAATAACGGAAGTTATTTTTGTTCAATATTTATTGCAAGTTTGCAGCACACTCAATAGGACACACGTGTAAACACTGTTAATAAAAATAGTTTGAAGCCATTATTGTATCAAAAAAAAAAAATTAAATCGGTATTATCCATAAAAAAACAATTTCGCCCGACATTGAAGTTTAAAAAGATCAAGCTATGTCTAGAGCCTTATAAACTTGGATATAGTTGATTACGATAAAGAAATCCGAAATTTTGTTTCGATCAGAGTATTTAAAAAAGTCTGATACCAAATACCATAAAAACAGTATTAACACGATGGAACTAGAAACATAATTTTAGCCGGTGTTTGAATTATCACGCGACGTTAAATATAAAACTATTATACCACCTCATAAAAAATGGATTGAAATTTATAGAAACTGCAATAAGTGATGTTGTTGCTTCACACATATTAATGGAAGACAGATTTATATAAAAAATAAAAAGGTAAAACTCGTAAGATGAATGGATATGTAGGAATCGTACAGTAAATAGCCACAACAGTGAAATAAGAATATACATGTACTAGTAATTTATACGCAAATAAACACAGATATCTCGTTTTTAGTGAGAGTCACGTGACTTCTTTTGCCCCTGAAATATCATGCAATATTTTCTTTCTTCATCGCGTCTACTGCTGCCCTGACAATGGTACTGGGGGCATTGAACCCGATGGCGAGATAAACAAGACTTCGGCGGATATTTGCGTCTAAGGTCCATGGTATACATATTGAAGTCACTAATGGTAATATTTGGATAGACGGTGCATTGAAATAAATAAATTACGGTAATATCAACGGTGTTACAGATTTCATAACTGATTATTGCTATATTTATAAAGGACGGGTTTGTTTATGATAAACAGATACAGAATGAACTAGAGAACAAATAAATTAATAAATAAATAAAGTTAAATAAAACACGACAGAGATGTCGTAGCATGAAGGACGAGTGTCCGAAAATTAACTTTTGTAAGACACTAGTCTTTTAGTACTGTGAAGTATAGAAAAGCAGAAATATACCCTCGACAGATTGTCTTAAAAAATAACGATATAAATAATACAAATTTTACACAACACAATAGTTAAGCCATTAAAATGGTTTATAAACAATATTAATATTAGTATTTATGTAAAACGAAAAAGTATAGTTCAATAAGACAGTTTTCTTGAGTAACCCACACTCGATAATTGGCAAAATTGAATGGCACAGCTGCTGAACTGGACGATACAAAATTATAGTCAAACATTATCAAAAAAATTGCCAAAACATATTCTAGTTATTGTGAATACAAATTTAACAATATTAATATTTGCAAAATGGCGAATTGGAAGACATTTGTAATGTGGCGACAATGTTACAAAAGTACTTCGGATGGTTCGGTGGATGAAAGTTCGACGGCATCAATTATTATCAAAATAACATTTCTATATACAAACTTGACTTTAAATGTTCTGCTCAGTACTAGCGGGATTATTCTAGTTTACTCTATTTGGTTTGCCAGTCTATTTTCCAGTACATGCTACAATCAGTTTATTGCTCTTTAAAATTGTAATATGAACAAATTTGAATATCTTTGAATTGTTTTGATAGTAGAAAATTGATTTACAAAAACATGCAATCAAATTATTTTGGATTTCAATAAATCGTAATCCATGAGACTATACACAATATTTATCCAATTTGCATGTACAGACTGTAAAATTGTCGATCGTGAACTTTGCACGTTGGTTTGCGGAATAATAATACTCAAATAACTGAAAATATCCATGTAGTGGTACTATCACTTATAAAAAATAAGTTGAGTTGAAATAAAATCAATTATTAGTAAAATAGGTAAATGTCTCTTTTATCAAGAAAAATATGGAAACAAACGAACAAAGCGTATAAACTTGTAAACTAATGGTGGCGCTATTCAATAGTCGATGAGTAATATTGAACAATCTGATAGTCGACATTTAATACGAACTGCAGAATGTGTTTTCATAAATATTTCGTTATTCGAAATTATAATTGTAATTATAATAAGTTTTACTTTTAGTAAAAAATAAGCTGCCATAATAAATAAAATATGTATACATTCCCGCTACTCCGACGTTAGATGGCGCTCTCGATCATCGGTTCGGTTACACTGGAAGGGTCCATGACCATTTTTTGGAGCTGCATCCTGTCTTGGTACTTCCTGAGTTCATTGCTGTCGGGATGGTTGTCTTTGATATGGCCGTAGTGCGTGTCGGGGTTATCGGATGTAACGCCGCACTCTTCGCAAACGTAGATCTTTGTTCGACGCTGTTTGTAGGCGTAACTGTGGGACATGTTGTGCACTTTGCTGAGATGAGACTCCAATGAACAACGCTGAGTGAAGGACTTGCCGCAGTGCTCACATTTATATGGACGTACGCCTAGTGGCAAAATAAATAAATAAATAAATAAATAAATAAATAAATAAATAAATAAATAAATAAATAAATAAATAAATAAATAAATAAATAAACGTTATGGTAAAATATGTGATGATTACCTGTGTGCGTTCTGACATGTCTTTTTAAGTCAAATGTGTCGTTGAAACCTTTGCCACAGTATGCACAGTGATATTTCCTGATGGCGCTATGACATTTCATGTGCCGATTCAGTAATCTCTGTAGTGGAAACACTTTATTGCAAACTTCACACATAAAACTATTCTGATCACTCGATGAGATGCCTACCCCATTCTGATTCAGGTGGATGGCGTGGCTGATCATTCGCGGTCGCCCCGGGGCTCGTCGCAGTGGCGCGTACTTCTGCACTGGTGATGTTGGACTGGAGCTGGATACTGGAGATATCGAGTTTGGACTGGTCATGCCGTTGTGGATCGAATGTGGATGGACAGTGAGTCGTTGTGGCAGCTGAGGTGGGTGGTTCATCCTGTTAGCGAAAGGCTGCAACGGGAAGTGGGGATAGTTACTCGGAGGGGTTGCTCGAACGATTGCGTTTGTCATGGGAACTTTACCATCAAAACGTGGCTGAAGCTGCGACGCAGTGGAATATGGGTGCATACCAAACACAGGCATTGTTGTGAACGGTGGACGAAAACCAAGCATCTGCTCTATCATGGGTGGACCGAATGCTTGATACGGACTTACATGTGTGCCAGTTGGCGATAACGGGTGGACTGGCAGATGGCTGCCGTAATATTGAAATCCATTGGATGGGACGGTGAGTGGCTTAGGCTGGCTCGGGGAACTAATAAGGAAATCAACGTTGAACGGTTTCGCTTTTGGTCGATGGGTAGTTTTGTCTGGAGACATTTGCCCGTGTGATGTAGGAGACGTCTCGCTGGAGGTTGTAACTGTGGACGGACTGTTTCCGCAGACTGATATTTCGTTTTCCGTTGATAAACTGGTTGCTGGAGACAGAGTTGAACACGCGGACGAAGGCGATGATACGGACGAAGGTATAGACAATAATGGCGGAAGAATTGGATCATCTGTACTGATGACGTCAATTTCTTCTTCGTTATCGTTGATTGCATGTTCAGGTAATGTTTCACATCGCCCTCTAGCTTCATCCTGGGGCTTGTCGGGCTTTCGAGGTCCCTGCGACCCGTCTTCGTTGTCTGGGTACATATTCAGAGGCGATTCAGTCTCTGGACTCGGTATGTTGCTGCTCTCCGACGAAGTCTTCGATTGATTCTCAACTCGCTTGGCACGTCTTGGCACGGGTAACGATTCACCGTTGAGGGCCATTTCTGCTACGTCTGCGGAGAAAAACAAAACATTAGATCAAACATTAGATTTCAACTGATGACATTGATAGCACAAACCATGTATACTTATTTTAGTTACACACCTCTAATCGAACGATTGCAGCACCGTACTTGTCGGTAACGATAATCAAATTAAAATGTCAAGCAAGAGAAACTGAAGCTAATGACGAAATTGGTAAGCATTATTGTGATCGATTAATCTATTCCCAACACAACTTCAAGGACTGAACCAAGGCGTAATGTAAAACTAAATTACATTGACAAGAAAAGTGAGGGATGGTAAATGATTGAACGGTCTATTCACAGTAAGATTGGCGTAATCATGGTATTACAGAGATCACAAGAACCTCCCCGCCCGGATTGTAACACTCTTTGGCCTTGTAGGCATTGAAAGTATTCAAATCATTTTATAGTAAACACAAATATTGTTGTACTTTTATCAGTTATAGTTTAAACAACGTCAACATGCGACATTCTGCTCGGCTAACCAATCGAAAAAGTCCAGCATTGCTACGATGGAAAACACGATGATCCTTGCCATCCGCGCATAAACCGCATTACTGTCAAACAATGCCTACTAATACACAATCACATCAAACAATGGCCCATTGTTACTACTCTGATAGATCACGTCTATTGTTTCCCTGCGAGGAAAGTCTATTCTCCCGAATTCTGTGTTTCTTTCCATCCCCCAGATATGATTTATTTTCCCATTTACTGCATTATACAGATTTTAACATTGACAGCACCTTAGAGCCATGTTGGATCCCATTCCAATACGATTTGTCGTTTGTAAGCAGTTAATCGGAGAAAATATGTAAGAAAATCCAAAATTACTTAGAAGACTTCGGGGGAAACGTTCTATTGTATAGTACTACTTCCAATTCTAAAGACCAAGACGGCGTAAATGTATGGTTCTATTTGTGTGAAATGTTGGAAGCCACTTTACTTGAAAATATGGACCTAATATTAGGTGAGTATACATACGTAATATTTTACAATTAAGATATACGAGTCAAAAGTCAAAAAGACCTCTCACACATCATATAATCTAATTATGTCTGACGTACAATTAGGCAAACACGGATTAGAATTGATAAAATTGAACAAAAAGTAATATTACTCTCAAAACCAAGCCGGGGTTACTGACTGGTATGGATATGAGATTACATAAACTGCATAAGGTACGTGTGAGTATGTGTGACGTAGATACGACATTATGTATGGTGTATCGACTGATGAAGTACGTACTATATCCGGGGTATCGGCAAGTTGATCAGTAGACATACATTGTATGTGATTGGTATGATGGGAAACGATAACAGAGATACGATAATTGGTGGACCTACAACGGACTTGTTTTGTTGTTCCAATCTCCGGTAAACAATGTCGTATATTCCCGGCGGAAATGGAAGCAAACTGGATGCGTGAAGAATGGATGTACAGGTAGAAAGTGAACTCCGCGACTCGCCTTAGGGAGTTAACCATTGTGTCTGCGCATGTCTCAACGTGTTCTCAGTGTATTTAATGTAAGCTTTGAATAAAAGTCAGCGGACAATTCAGCGTAGAGGCCACGTAGTACGCCATGCTTGCCCGCATCTTCTAACAAGCACCTGAGTACTTTCAAATCTTCATCCCCCACTACACATTTTCGAGCGGCAAATTTCTAAAACAGTACGGGCTATTTAGTCTGGGTCAGTTCCTATGAATGGCGAAGGCAATGGAGGAGATGTATCTCCCACGACCTAACTGAATACCGCAATTCTCTGAGCTTAAAGTGACTTTTCCCCACGGGCTGTGTTTTCTCCATGACTGCCCAAAGCCAATAGACGGGACACTATCAAGCCTTGAATCATATCTACCAAGAATAGGGGTGCTATCAACTCCTGCATATGAAGATAAGCTCTCTTGTCCACTCTACTATTGGCCTCCCCAGATATAACAACATTTGAAATGAAGCAGTTTTACGCTAACGCTATCAACGTCCACTTAACTACATCTCAATTGTCGACATGAAACAGGTCCAATATATGTCTGGCTCTGCGAAAACACTGACACACCTGGGTGCTGATCAATGCCCATTTATGTACTTCAACAACGGATCACTGTTTCGTTTTCCGGACTTCAGTTCACGTGTACGTTGAAAGATACAATAAATATATGGTGCATTTACTGTAGAAGTGACCGATTATCGCACCCCTTCCTTACACCTACTACAAGTATACTTCACATATAAATACATAATATATTCTTAACTGATTGAATGTCGTTATTAATGTAATTAAAAATGGTTACTTTAATGAAAATGAATGTATCCAAGCAGTTACAATTCCATCATATTTGTTCAAAACGTCATGATGCTTAATTTAGGGCCATGCTCCCTGATTACTGCTAGGCCCGTATAGATTTTTCCTGGTTGCCCTCACTGCTGATGCATTGTGTTTACATATACCATTGTTACATGTTTTATAAATCATTATATATACCAGTGAATTAAGTTTGCTTCAGTTAAATTGTTTGTTGATTTTGTTTCTGCATTTTTCAGCTTGGCGCGCCAGCGTATATGGCGGCTAGTTGAAAGGTTGCTTTTATCAACGTAGTATACTTTAGACCAATCAGAGGGCGTTTGGCTTTTGCGACCGAACAAATGAATATCGACTAGCTGTTCACTGGTGCGATAATTATCATTGTCATGATTACATTACGATCGTAATTAAACCGCAATTAAAACTTATTGTTTTAGTGCCATGCGCTTATCTGTACTTAAGACAGGCCGATTGTGTCTGTATATGTTATCCTCACATTCTGTGTTAAAATATATTATAATTTGTGCGTACGCCAAGTAGTAAAAAGAACTGTTTTACAGGGTAAATGGGTAAATTGTCGAATGATATTTAAAATTGTTAAACTATGAATAAAATGTCTCTGTTTGTCATTAATATGAATGTGCTTGTGAAAACTGTAATCTATTTTATTTTCACTTGGAATTTATTTTCGCTGAAGGGAATCAATGAAAAAATCCATTGCAAATGTTATTTAACTCATCAACAACGAAAAGTAACGATAATGTCTTTTCAGCAAGAATCAATTCCAGCTAAAACAAGGTCTTTTACGGTGCGGCGTTGTTTTTGTTCTATATGAATTCTATTAAAATAAAAGAGGCTTATTGTGTATATGTGTTTTTAAAAGAGGACATAAATTAGAACAGGTTTCCATTTGTTTTACCCCCATCACATGACAGTGGGCGTTAAGAAGTGCGAATGTGTTGTTTGTTCAGAAGAAACTTGGTTTCTTAAAGCCCTGACGCCACGCAGAAATTAAACTGATGGCACAAACTAAACACACGGATGAAAGAACGTATTGAAAAAGTCATTTAGCGAGTCAAAGCATATTTTAACGTCAGTGAATGCAACCGAATTAACACCTAACCTGTGGTTTTGTTCTGTGCTGGTGGTTAGGGGTAGAGTAAAAGAAAACTTTGTTTACAATGTGACGCTATGTTACTCTTAATACGGATGATGATACGACCATTCCAGAATCAACGCCTGATAACGGTATTGTATGTATTCGTCACGGGGAGCCGTTGTCGCGTGCTCTAGCACTTTTAACTCGATTGTACTAACAAATACGATGATCCCCCCAAAATTAGGTCTCTGTTGGTAATTAGAATACCAACCCAAATGGAATGCGTGAAAACCGCCTGAGAAGAATGATTCGCTGTTTTCCGTAAACACAATCTTGAGTGAAATGGAGCCTATTCTTAGGGGCTTTGTCAGATGTTCAGCCACGTGACAGTTGGTGGTATCGCGAAACAAAGACAAACACTTTTGTTGACAGAATTCTGAAAATGATGTTACTGGATGTTTGGTAATAAAACGGAATACTGGTGTTGTGTTAAATTAGACCACACGGACTGCTCAATATGTCCATGAAATCAGTTTCCGGTGTGACAAATAAAAATCCAGACGGATTAAGTTTGTTCAGAGAAAAACGATAGTTCAAGTTTTTGTTAAGGAATACTAGTAAATATGAGAATGCTAGAATATCTATAAATTAATCGACCGCTTTCGGATATATGCCTTGTAACACAGTCCTCGATTGCGTATTGAGTTCTAGTTCTCCTAGTCATAGCCGTAAAAATAACAGAGAAATGATAGTCACGGTCTATGTGGTTGACGTGAAAATTAATGTCTCGATCGTCCATCGTACTGGTAGGACGCGGTTCGTGTGTTTTCTTTTACACCGGCCCCATAATCAGTCGGTCCTCGTTACTGACAACAACGGATCGAAGTAAAACACAAGGGATATACTAGTAGTGAGTAAAGACTAGTACACGACTTGTCTCAAGATAACAAAATGACGTCATCATGCAAACGCGGAGTTCGTTGCTTTCTGGGCTTTCAAGGAGATTCTGATGACCCGATATAGTGGAACAGTTATTAGCCACTTGTTCGGCCTTTGTGCGCAAATACTTGAAATCTTATGTTGATAACTGGTCACTGTTTTAAGTTCGACACGACTTCTGTAATCCTGGAGGTCTAAATAAGAGCCCGAACGCGTAGTGTGGCAGGATTTGTACACAGTCCCTCTATAGTCTATAGAGGGACTGTGATTTGTAATACTTAGAAACCGTTCTACTGCATGATCACGTCACTACTCGCAGATGCATTCGTGATTTCAGATCAAAGTAACCAGGTTCGCTTACAATGCTTAAAACATTGTAAGAGAATAGTATGGTTACGTCGGTTGACTCGATCGTGCAGAGGTGTCCGCATTGTTCGTTAAAATAAATCAGACCAAAAAAAAAAATACAGTCACTGATAAACTATGAACACTTAACATATATTATCAGGTGATAGTTAATCACCTCTGTTGGACACGTAAAGTAGCCTCATTTTCTCGATACTTTAAAATTGAAAAACATTAGTATGACACATTCTCACCGCTATAATCCTCACCTGCAAAGCGTCTCGCAGCTACTCGCCTTCTTGTATGTGCGCGCCACGGATAAATCGAACTTTAAAGACTATATTTGATGACCCTATTACACTTGCTGCAGACGAGTAATAACTTGCCCACTTTCTACCTCGTAACCCCGTCTACTATTTTATTTTCCGGCAGTTTAGTGTTTATCAGCTCATTATCGCACAGGTTGTCGATTAAAATTTCGCTGCTCGCCGACCTCGCGGCTATGTTTCAGTAGAAATTCAATGTGATTTATCAGTGGCTGCCGGGGGCGGTGCTAAAGTACACTTTGTTTGGCACGTCGCCGGTTGTGATCAAGCAGAACACCTTAAACAATTTGTGCATTCATGGGCCAGGTGAGGTGAATGGTAACGTAGAAAGGAACATGATACTTCATCGCTGTAGAGGAGAATTCAATTTACATTATCACAGACGATTATGGCGGCTAGCAGGTGAATTATAGTTCGTCTGCGAGACAGGCCGATGTCTGCAAAGTTGTCTTGTGTTATATGAGTAACTCGACCTAGGTGATGGTACCAAGGTACCGATTGGTATGTCACGGTCGACTTCGTCACCATACAAGACGAGTGACACCCCACACGACAATACGTTAACATTTATTTTCTACAATTGAAAACATAAAAAATGATCATGTAGCCAATAAAATCGCTCATGCAATTTAGATAGATGTTACAATATCTACACACATATATGTTGCATTGAATTGTGGCATTGGCGTGCTTAAATTGACGGACAAATCGTTAGTGGTAAAAGATCGACAATACATTACATGCAAGCGTTTGTAGTGGTCGTACTCTAAACTCAATGAACGTCGATTAAGGCTGACCGTGACAACTTTGTGGACGTATAAGTGGGGCAACAGCGGTCTGTTAACTCTATAAAACGAGGAGGGGGGCTTGTCTCGAAACAAGTCATAAAGACGATTTGATAGACTGGGTCCTTTGTAATGTGAAGTGATCACAAATCGCATAAGGCCGTAAGTAATAGACTCTACACGTAATTACACTCAGCTCGTAAATTCGTTAACGCGCGCAAATCGGAGGGCCCATAAAGGTAGGTTGTGGTGAGTGATTGCCGAGATGGCAAACGTCATAAAAAGTAGCCAGTCGTTGCACCCGCCGACTATTTGTTTTCCACCTGTTTGAAAAAACAATCAGCGAACAATAGAAGGTGGATTGGCCATGGGACGATCCGTCTTGTCGTTTTACGACCTATCGTATATAAATCTTGGACAACTGCACAGTTTATCTATCTGAGGATTCACACAACACATGCATGGGAATATCATTCTTACGTTGGAACGAATAATAACATTCCCTCACTACTGTCCTGAATTGTGAAGTTGTTTTCTTCTTCATATAATGAATACGCTTCTTCGCCTAGGGTTGTATTCGCTTCATTGCTCGTCGGCGTGTTGGCAGCCAAGTTGAGAATAACATATTAATAGGTACAAGACTAGAAAGCGGTTTCTGACTATACCCTATTCGAATACAGCGGAACACACTTTGGAAGAACAAAATATTTATCAGGACTTGAAAGTGTATTCCTCCAAAGAATCCAACCAAATTAACGCACGTGTGGTAAAAACAAACAATTGTTTAGCTCATAGCTGCGTGGCATTTTTGTTTGCGGTATACGGTAGCCGTTGCTATGATACCACGACTCTTTCATTGACTGTTTGTAACTTGTAATCAGCAAATATAGTAATATGCAACACTTAGCAATTTGTCCATTTATATAAAAAAAATCAATTAATGAAGATGAGTCAAAGTTTTAAATGTACAACTTTCACCCCAGGGGATACTGTTACTGAACTTTCCCTATTTTATGTTACAATGTCCATAGATGTATCCCCTGTGCCGCCATTCTGAAATGGTAGCCGGGTGTCAGAGGACGTTTCGACTCGCGTTCGGCCCTGGTAAATAATAGACATTACGACCAGTTTTGGGACGTTACGATAGGGGTGTAAGTATTGGCTCTCGCCACCACCACCATATTGTGTTCGATGTAGAACAATAAATTGTATCGTCGAAAACAAAAAAATGAGTGTTACCCATTCAGAAAGCCCACTCGAGTGGGGCTGAGGCATCTAATGTGGGTAGTGGGGTGAGTTAGGCGTCGTTGCACTACGAAACACGCACATGGTGATTTACAGATATAAATTCGATGGTAGTATGAATACAAGATCAAAAAATCAAAAACAAATCGATGGTAGTATAAATACATAACTCGGAATCTTACAATATCAGAACACGAGTCTGTTCTAGTTCCCGGACATGCATGTTAATACGAATGCACGGGAATCAGATTTATTGAATTCGTTCTGGTGTATTTCCTCCGCGAATATATTCGCACTTAGCCCGATGACGTCAGTAATATGTAAACATCAATGGGATAGAAGACAATGAGACAGCGCGAACAACAAATAAACTACCATAGACTCTCAGGTTATTCAATTTTAATGAAATGGTTGGCAATCGGACACGAACACTAATACAAATGTATGTTTTTTTACAAAATGATTTAGTCTGTTGGAGATAAGTTGCATTTTTAAATGTCCAGGCGTTAAGCCCATTTGGCTCTATTGTTTTGATACACGCAAATTAATTCGAACAGTGACATAAAAGACGGGGCTCGGCGACCCGTCCATTGTGCATAATTATTCTGGCAGAACGGTCGATTAATTAATACACATTTGTACATCCCCTAACATAATGAAGCAGCGACAGAAAGTAACTGCATATATAATTCTTCAACATATAAATGATTTAATAGTGACGTTATTATGAGATCGGTGAATAGTATTATTATTATTCAAGTTTTTCAGATATGACCCAAACGTCGCACAAAACATTATTTTGAATATTAAAACAAAAATACGTAAAAACGCATACCTAGCAATTGTTGCATATTACATTTCGTAGTCGTGTGTCGATCCCGTTGTTGTATTGCCTCTTCCGTGGACATCTGTAAGGAGGACCGGTCTTTAGATAGGAGAAATAGTTTGGGCATGTTGTCGCTTATCTGTACTTGTCTCGAAAGCATGTGTTCGATGATGGTCTACCATCCGCGATGACTCGGTGCGTAGTGGTTTCCAGGTACAGGTAGATCACAATCTCGATCGACGTGGGAGTAGTTTTCTTGGTACGTGTGGGGTAGCTTATGTCGGGTTTAATCAGGTGAACAACTATGAACAGTGTAGAAATCGAAACGGTAAAACGCTAATGTCTCTGTGTGTCTCTCACGTCTGTATGAATGAATGCAAGTTGGACCGTTCCATTCTTAATGGAAGGGGTATCGTCATGTGCAGCGTGTTGAATATTCACTTAGGAGGGTGAATCAAATTCAAGGTACCATACAATGTAACCTGATTTTAAGATATGAATCACCATTAATTTGTACCTTCTCGCAAATGAGAATTACACCATGCAAATATTCTGATGGTTTGTTCAAATTTCCTTCATGTTGAGGACCCCCCCCCCCACAGTTCTACTTATCCGACCCACCCCACATCACCTATTCATGTGTGCGCATGCGCGACAGAAGGAAAAATATCTCTTCCCGAAAAGCTATAGGTGGAAACGCGGAAAGTATATAATACATTTACGTATGAAAAAGTACAAAAAAGCAAAGTACGTAAATTGACGTCGCTCAGGTACGATTGCACATATCAACGCAAGCCATGCGAAGAATTTCGAACCCATTCATGACCATTAAGGAGAAGAAACAGGCGGAAGCAGTTCACGGATTTGCATCAACAATACCAGGCGATTGACACATTTGATATTGATATAAATATAACACCCGCGTTGATTATACATCGTGAAAATGCTATTCACACTTTATGCAAATACAACTGAATATTCACGAGTTCTGTTTTGTAGTCTGCATGGGAATAGAAATTCAGTGCTGTTTTTAAAATATCAGACGGAAGACAAACTTCCGTGAAAATGATGCGACAATCTTGTAATGTCGCTTTACAGTTATTGACGTGTGATTATTGCAAATCACAGACAAAAATATTACAGTAGTTAGTGGACTCAGGAATTTATAATCACATTGATAGATGCGTGATCAAGAAAACTCAGCTTAATTCAAGATCAAGAAATAATTGGAGACTTTATAACAACAACCTCCATTATTAACATATGTTGGCTAAGGTTACTCAAGCCAAAGTTGACTTATTAGCATATAGTTAGTCGCTTTGTTTTCCTCTCATTACAATTTGTGCGTCATCTGGGTAATTTCCCTAGAACAGTTAACACCACAAGTTGGCATTTATTTGGGAATTAGCACCGATTACGTCATCACTCGTCGATTGCAACGCGGACAATAGGTGGTAAGATGTTCCGTGTCATCTGTTTACGTTCATACCGTACGGTGTGGTGGTGACAATGAATGGTTGCATTGCCACCATTTGGGGGCTGTTATCTTGAGTAGTGGTTAGTGGCCGTTACGCCACGAGTCAACTTACAGTTATCTTGTAGTTGCCAGTGTATTTCAATAGTAACTGAACGTCGCATTTTAATTTATTAAAATAAATATTTCATCAGAAAAAACATATACGTATGTTTTGGCATGGAAATACTTTTGTGGCGTATTTGGAAATTATGATGTGATGGTCATTGAACCACGGATGGCATACGTGACCATGATGAAATCACATATTTAAAATACTAAATACTAGTAGTTTGTTTTTCTCCTGCGAATTCAATGTGATTGAGAAACGAACAACACCGTGCACCCCACGTAGTTGGAACATGCACTAACACAACACCGATCCAAATACGATGTGATCAGGTCGACCAACTGGCGCGTAGCGGGCAATGCCGTCATCTTATTGTCCAAAATGGGCATTGATCAACATTTAAAAAACAACGCCGATCTCTGCACGTAGCTACATATCTGCGATGATTCCTAACAATGTTCAGATTGTCAGTAAAATGTCCCTGACTGTAATCCAGTTTGCTTTACACATGCCAGTACACACAATACTATTAATTGACGTATTTGAGTGGTAAATCCAGATATTTTTTGCAGCAGCATTGGCCGTGTTGCTATGTTCACCACAACAACATGTTTTTTTTTGTTTTGTTTTGTTTTTGCGCGCGCGAGGTTATGTTGGTTGAATATATGTATGTACATCTACAACTAAAGTGTATTACTAGCTCCTTTTTAATGGAGTTAATACCACCAAGGAAATACTCATGATATTTCTAGTCCAACTAAGCGTCTAGCTAACTCGATCGGCTATTGCATCCCATCAGGAAATACAATACATGTGTTCAACTATACGATATAATAAAAATGATGCTTTATTTGTTTTTCTGAAGAAGGAAGTGTGTATAACCCGATGTACGAGCTTATGATGGCGATTCGTGGCATTATTGCATCCCGACATCAGCGAGTTTAGTAATCACAAATGGTGTACACGAAATACCCCCACCCGTGTTTGGTTTATCGAAGCAACATTTGTAGATTGTTTAAGTTTCAATTGTAGAAATGAAAAAAAAAAAATCTTCTTCACTGTCTCCAGGGTCTAATAATGGTCATACTCTTCAGCAGCGTGTCCGTGATTTAAAATTTTAATTTGTGTTTTTTTTTATTATAAGGTGTTGTCTGCAGACCAGCCGACACTATTTGGATGGAGACGCTGCATACGCGTATGGAAACTTTTGTAATTATGTTAGACCACACTGCGCATGCGTATGTCACAGATGACTGCTCAGAGAGTGGGTCTCTACACTATACTACGCAAGGAGATGATGACAGAGATCGCTTTCACTTTGCCCCTGTATAAACAAATACGGCATGTTATGATAGATAGAAAGACATACAATAATACTATTCTTGTCGAACTTTTGTATATATTTCACAGACAAAACGAGTATTTCTGCAAAAACTCGACAAACCCAACGGAATTATTGGATTACGCACTATTTTAATATAGAAACGCGAAATTGTTACAGTGAATTAAAAGCGTTATTATATTTGGTGAACTATTTTTTACTTTTCGCCAGCTCTCAGAACCCAGTGAAATTTTACCCTGTGGATTTCTTATATGCCATTATCTTCTAAATTTACACAACTGAGACCAGAAACATGTCGTTTCGAGCCTCATCTTTGTCCATTATAGCGTGACCCCGTCATAGTACGGTCGCTTATATATCAACCCAACCCAGGAGGGTATCCCGCGGGCTGCCAGCAATACAAATTTCGAACTGACATTTACGATTACCCGAAGCCGTGAACCATTCACCGTAGAGGAATGTAACACCAGTGGGACGTCTTGGCTTGGTGACAAGCAATAAACTTAGCTAACTTTAATGCACTTTAAGACTTGCCAGGGGTACTATGAAACCAACGAGTCGTTCTTGTTGCTAATGACAACACACACTTAAGAGGACAATAACCTATTGTTAAAAACTAAGATTCAGGAGATAGTTTCTTATTTTCCTGAATCGTGATTCACACTGGTATATAAGCAACCCACTGTTCTCAACATATATTGCTAAAAAGTGGCACATACGCGCACAGAGGACGAACGTCGACTGAGCTGATACCACTGGACGCAGGCGGGCATTCCACTGTGTAGAGGCTAGGTGTAACACTACTACACCACTTTAATGAGCAATTAAATCTGTAGAAATTAAATAATGACTATATATGTGTTAAGTTTCCATTCCTGAGTGCTTGTTTCCTCTAAATGAGTCATTATATGATCCAATCAAGGGTCAATGAAAAACACGTTGTATGGGGACAGTAACTGAACGTAACTAGAGGCGATTTAGCTAGAGACCAACGGTCGAATCATGAACAATTTACGTACTAGTTTTATGGTAAAAACAGATTTTATTACCATCATTTGTAAGAAATATTTACTTCCATAGTGTGTTGCATGTTTATTTGGTTGTAAGATGGCTTGAGTGGTATTACTTCAAAAGCACTACGCGTTTTGAATAAGTCGATATCAAGTTGTTCTTCCGTCTTCTCGGTATGCTGCTCAATCGTAGCCAGGCGCACCATCGAACATTAGAGACAAACACCTTGATATGATAAACTGCACCTTGTATCTTTATTCGATGATTTACGATGTCATGACGCAAATCGCCGAACACAATAGTTTACTTTACGACAGTGCTAGGCGATTCACGTGACCAAGCGACTGCCCTCGAGTAAAACGTCATTGTTACTGCGAAAATGCGTTATTTGGAACGAGACTTCACAAAACCGAGCGAAATGCACCAATTCACTTGGCAGCAATTATCGCTGGATAGTCGCATTAATTATTTCGATGTTGTCAGTAATACGTGCGTCCTTCCAATGAACCTTGTCAACCCCGCTTCTGCCTTCAGCACGTGATACTTTCCCGCCATAGCAAAACTCGTTTACATAATCAATAATTTCAATCATAACTTTCAATGAAACTAACATAATTCACAACTTGATTACACGTTCCGCTTCTAACATATTGGATAGAAAGAAATGTAGAATATGATGCTACCAGAGAGCTACGCCCATAGTGACCGCCTTACTTAAAAATCTACCAGTATCCCGGTCAGTGTTATTACATGGCACTCGAAGCAAAACGATATACGCTGAATTTCCTTATGTGTTGACATGATGACGTGCGAAAAATACAATTTGGGAAATATTTGGGACAGAAACAGCATAAATCTTATTTATTATTTGTTACAATTACCTCTTTCTGTCACGTTACACCCACTGACTGTTGGTGTCGCGTTGCACATGTGCGTGCAATTAACTATAACAACTCAACACTTAGGGATGACTAATGATTTACTTTGCTCCAATCACGGTTCATCCTATTGCGTGATGCATCCCTTCATTCTAATACATCAATTCGCCCAAAGCACTAACAAGAGTCAAATGTCACACAAGCGACGGTCTATTTACACTTGACATCATGTTCACGCACTGATACATTGTTCACATGACTACCAGTCTGTGTTTGGAGTTTGATCACACACATATACAATGTATGTCTTATATTATAATTAGTACCGTCGGTAGTAAGATACATTGTGTTTCGTCATTGCAGTGGTTTCTGATCGGTTTCTTATCTATATCCACTTACACCACAGGCAAGTCAACGTGTTTTTGTTCCGTGTTCATCGATTATAAAAATATAAGAGATTCTCAAGAAATAAATTGTGTACGTCATCGTATTTTACGGAATAACGTACTGCGAGAAATCAGGAATTCACATAT